ATGCCCACGTTAAAAAGGCCTTGTGCCACATGACGCCCTCGTGGGGGACGACTAAATATAGTCCGCCGCTCACTTTCTGAGCGAACGGTTCGGTTTAACTCTCTGCTTTCGGGCGGGAGGAACCCGAAGGAGGCTACGCCGAAGGGCGGAGTCTCCTTCGGGAGGTAAAATGGGCCCAGAACCCGTTTATACGGGTTCAAATGGGCTATTTTTTGGCCGACCCAATGGCTCGGAAATGCCCACGTTAAAAAGGCCTTGTGCCACATGACGCCCTCGTGGGGGACGACTAATATAGTCTGTCGCTCACTTTCTGAGCGACGGTTCGGTTCAACTCTCTGTCTACGGACGGGAGGAACCCGAAGGAGGCTACGCCGAAGGGCGGAGTCTCCTTCAGGGGAGGTAAACCGGCCCTGAACCCGTTTATTCGGGTTCAAATGGGCTATTTTTGGCCGAGCCAAATGGCTCGGAAATGCCCACGTTAAAAGGCCTTGTGCCACATGACGCCCTCGTGGGGGACGACTAAATATAGTCTGTCGCTCACTTTCTGAGCGACGGTTCGGTTTAACTCACTGCTTACGGACGGGGAGGAACCCGAAGGAGGCTACGCCGAAGGGCGGAGTCTCCTTCGGGGAGGTAAACCGGCCCTGAACCCGTTTATACGGGTTCAAATGGGCTATTTTTGGCCGAGCCTAATGGCTCGGAAATGCCCACGTTAAAAAGGCCTTGTGCCACATGACGCCCTCGTGGGGGGACGACTAAATATAGTCCGTCGCTCACTTTCTGAGCGACGGTTCGGTTCAACTCTCTGTCTACGGACGGAGAGGAACCCGAAGGAGGCTACGCCGAAGGGCGGAGTCTCCTTCGGGGAGGTAAAACCGGCCCTGAACCCGTTTATACGGGTTCAATGGGCATATTTTGGGGCCGAGCCCACGGGCTTGGAGATCACACATTAAATAACAGGCCTTGTGCCACATGACGCCCTCGTGGCGGGGGTGACTGAATATCGTCAGTCGAGTCAGTAGTTCAAGTCGAGTCAGAGGCAGTCTGAAACAGAGTCACGTTCAGACAATTACTGCAAGACATTGGAATAGTGATACTGGTCGAGACTACATTGTTCTCTCTACTAAACCTGATTGTTCATACTAACACTTCTCTGTATATATATTCCTGTTTGTAATATATCTGTGTTATTCCATACCTATGTTCGCGTTCTTCTTTATTGGTTCTACCTTCGACTATCACCGTAGTACAAGGAATCGGACCATAACAGTTAGTCACCCACAAAGTCTCGTAGACGCCTTTGAACTCTATCAAGGCTAGAGAGTGTCGTCTGGGCAGCACTCGCCCAAATATGACAACGGTACTTCACTTTTGGTCTGATCTGGTCCTTATAATGGTAGAGGTAGCAAGAGGAGTCAGCTACTTACTCGAGCGATACAGAGAGCTAACTATTTTTCCTGCATCCTTAGCAATTGATCGTATGTACGAGTTCCAGTTCAGGTCGGGTGTGTGTTTGAAGCCCAACAATCTTTCTAGGCACGGTACTTCCCCAAGAGGACCTCCATTCATCAAGATTGCTGGTAGTTCGGGGTCATATGAGTGAAGATGAAATGCTACTAACTTGGTCTTCGAGGCATTGAATGTAACCAGCCAGGCTTTAACCCATTGGGTAGTTTGTGAAAGATCGGAAAAAAGATCAGTCGCCAATCTCTGACTATAGATAATTTCCGAGGTGTGCCCGTATATAGTCGTATCATCGGCATAGATGTTTTCAAATGGTGTGAGTATATTTTTAGGCAGATCATTTGTAAAGATCAAAAAGAGGCTTGGCCCGAGGAGTGACCCCTGAGGTACGCTTGCGTTGACCTCTAGGTCTCCAGACGACTGAGCATTGATAATTACCTACATGGACCTACCTGTTAGGAAGGATTTTATGATCGAGAAGACACTTTCGGCGATTATATAAATGGAGAGCTTCTATAGCAAGCCTTTGTGCCATACCTTGCCGAAGGCCTTGGAGATATCCAATGCTATGGTCCTCAAGGTATGTTTGTCATTAACACTTTCACTGCTACTTATTTTCCTAATGCTGCCCCCATCCGGCCAGCCATTTTAAAAGAAAATGCCAAATTTCAACCTACGTATTTTAATACACAGAAAACTGGCACCAGTGTGTTTTACAGCCTCCATTTTCATGGATATACCTGGGAATGACTTAACAGATCAGTAATGGGTATACACATGATATCTTTTGAAGCATTGTCCTTTGTGATTTTACGATAGATGGCGCAACGGGTCACTCATACCAGCGGTATGCAAAAAACGTAGGTTTCCGTACTTAGCCAGCTGGAGCAAGATAAGAAAAACGAAGATCTCCCTAGTTAGCAGCGGAAGTGTTAAGAGCCTCACTGATTCTGTGAATGATGGTAGTTAGGACGTCGGCAGTAGATCGGGCCGACCGAAACACATACTGCTCGTCGCTGAATAGTTTGTTCTTTTCTAAGTCCTCGAGGACCCTCTTATTGATTATGGCCTCGAAAAGCTTGCTGGTGATACTGAGGAGACTGACAGATCTGTACTGGGAGAAGGAAAATCGCACACCGCCTTCTTGAAAACCGGGAATACGCTTGGCATTTTGTACAGGCTTGGGAAGGACTTCTTCAAGCAGCGGTTGAATAATCTGGCTTGGATTGGGGATAATTCTTGGTTGATGTTCTTAAAGACAACCACTGGAATTTTGTCTGGAGTAGTGGCTTTCTCAGGATCAGGGTCTTTGATAATTCTAGAAACTTCTTGTGCTGTGATGGTAATATTATTGAGATTGTGACTTGGGAACTTAGGGAGTGGAAGGTATTTGTCATATAACGCCGAGGCATGATGAAGGGGAAGAGGTTCACCTTAACTATCGAGGAGGATGGGACCCCAGGACCATTTATAATTGTTGTCACAGCCGCTTTACTTCTGTTCGTGATCTGGTTCGTGATCTTCCAGAATTCAAGGGATCCAATTTGTTTCTTTTCAATCCTCAACTGGAATGCTCATACATAGCTGCACTTGGCGTTTACTAGAACATGTTTTCAGCCATTGCGGACACTTCTGAATGCAGTGAGGGCCGAACTACAACCTTCCTTGCGATAGATATTGAAGTAATGGTTTCAGTGAGTTATGCCGGCAGCGCATTCAGGAGTGAACCAGGGTTGACTGTTTTTTGCTGGAACTTTTGGTGCATAAAACATACATGCTTTTGAAAACAGAACTGTCATATCCTAACGTAAGCAAAGACAATTTTAAGAATGGATTTCAAGCAATAAAATAAAAAAATATCTCGGATTAATAAATGAAAAATACATTTCCAAATATCTTACTCTGTTCATATCTATCTATCTATCTATCTATCTATCTATCTATCTATCTGTTCCTTTGTATGTATGTATGTATGTATGTTCTGCCAACCCAATTTTACTCACAAGGCTTGGGTCAACCCATGGTATGGTTTTCAGGCAAAAAGGTGTCACATGCTGGGATCGCCTCCCCCCGACATCGATAACATCAGGAAGATCTAGAAATTAACAATTTGCCCTTGCATGGAGTATTGCTGTCATATATGGTCTGGAGCACCCTCTGTTTGCCCCGGGGTTCTTGATAGGCTCCAGAGGCGGATATGCAATATAATTGGCCCTGTTCTGGCATCTCGCCTACAGACACACTCTCACAGACGCGCCGTCGCCTCTCTCTGTCTTTTTTACAAATACTTTCATGGCAACTGCTCCGAGCAGCTGCTTTCGCTGGTTCCCAGACTTCATGAGTTCAAGCGCCCTACGAGGCTGGCATCCCGCTCTCACCCTTTCACTGTCGAAACTCCTAAATGTAGCCGTCTTTTCTACTCTAATAGCTTCATGTCTCGCACCTCTCGCCTGTGGAACTCCCTTCCTTATTCCAGTTTCCCTGATAGCTATAATCTCCAGCTATTCAAATTTAATGTCAATCGACATCTCCTGTTGCCTTGATCTATCCACTTATCCTTCTCTTCATCCTTTCTTCTATCACTCCTATCTGATCTTGCTCCAAATTTTCTGTAACCCTTTGCGTCCTAGTGGCTTCTCACCTTGCTTGGGGTGAAACGCTTAAAAATAAAAGTCTCCTTACTGACAAATCAATCGTGGTGAGATTCGAATGCGGGTCTCATAGTCAGAAAGCGAACGTTCTAACGACTCGGCCACGCGTCCATAAAAGCTGTGCTAGCACGAAGTCACAAGTCATCGTGACCGAGAGTTTGAGTGTGCTGACCTTGTTCAAATTGTTGATTTAGCTAGATAACACGCTCTTTCCCAGAAACTGTAACAAAAGTTCTACTCAGCATAGTTGTTTTATAAACCACAAGTGGGCTCTGTGTGTGGTGAATAAACATAAATACGCCTGAGCAAGCGTCTGCAATAGGGATTGGCTAGCCGCCCTAATAGACGAGTATCCCCTAATACGTGTGGCCAGCTATTATTTTATCTATCTATCTATCTATCTATCTATCTATCTATCTATCTATCTATCTATCTTTTGTGATGTCAACAAACACACGTTTGTCACTTTTGTGGTACCAACGAATACACGTTGTCAGTTTCGTAATGCTCGTTGAGGTAGAGCAGATAGTAATCGCAGATTATCTGGTGTCAGACGCCTTCGAATATCACTCGCATTAATAGTACTTGCTCGATAATACTCGCTCGAATAGTAATAATGCTCCAAATAGAGAAATAATATAGTGAATGGAGTAGAGAATAGCGATCCGTATAGTAATAGAGGATAGAGTAGAAACAGTGATCCGAATAGTGATAGAGGATAGACTAGAAATGGTGATCATTTAGATGTCACACAACTTCCTATATATGCGTTTCCTCTATGGTCGCGTGGTCTAATTAATACAATAATGGGGTCGCCTGTGATTGCTCATGTTCAAACTCAAGTGTCGGCAGCGACATTTGATACCTATATAACACTATCTATCTTTGTCTAAACATATCTATCTATCTATCTATCTATCTATCTATCTATCTATCTATCTGAATCAGTTCGTATGTATGATTTTATGTCTCTTTTCCCATCTATTTCTCTATCTCATAATTTTCATATCTATCTATCTATCTATCTATCTATCTATCTATCTATCTATCTATCTATCTCAGTCTCTTCATTATTATCTATCTCAGTCTCTTCATTATCTATCTATCTATCTATCTATCTATCTATCTATCTATCCCAGTCTCTTCATTATCTATCTATCTATCTATCTATCTATCTATCTATCTATCTGCACTTGTGTCCATCTTTGGCTCGTTTCGTTTGTGTTCAGATCTCTACTGAGATATTTGAAAGTTTTATTCCGGTGTCTGCTGGCGATATTGAAACTCAATTTGTCGTCACGATTTTCGATGATTTTTCACTTGCAGACAAAAACGCGATGCAGAATTATTCTTCCAGATGTCGTCTCCATCACCAGCTCGCCATGCAATCAGCGCATTCGAGTAATTCAGTACAAACAGCGTCCACCATTCATTTTATGTCCTCACAAATAATATAAACAACGTAGGAAGATGGTTATAAAAATCAGTTAATGCTAATGGGAAAAGTCCACACAGCAAATGGCCTTTGACCTTAAAACGATGTGCTCCAAAATACATTTCAAAGTTTCATTGTCTGGAAATATAGATTCTTTTTAATGTTTTCTTTATATCATTGCTACACACACTCATTGATTCTGATGGCGTGTATATTTACGTTCTGAATCAATAACGAATTTTACACACACACACACACACACACACACACACACACACACACACACATATATATATATATATATATATATATATATATATATATATTTCGGACATTATTTCTAAATAATTTAAACGTTATATTTACTATGCGTTTAGGTCTTTCCTATATATGGTTCCAACTAAACGAAGGCAAATTGGCTTTTAATAATGAATGAATTTCACATGAATGCCTGAGGCCTAAATTTACACTGTTTAAAAACTGGGATGTCTATCAAAACTTTTTTTTATACACTAAATATAATATATGAATATATATATATATATATATATATATATATATATAGTTTATGAAAAACTAGGTAATCCCTATGGGTAAACCCAAGGAGGATAAAATCCAGAGAGCTCATTGTAAATCCATAGCAAATAATTTAAATAAAAACAGACCACTTTAAAGTTCTATGTAATAAATTATTTCACCACAGCCCTTTTAAAAGGACTGCGGATCATCAGACTTTACTTCCAAACCTTTGGTTTAGGTCTTTCCAACATATGGTTCCAACCAAACTTTGGTTTGGAAGTAAAGTCTGATGATCCGCAGTTCTTTTAAAAGGGCTGTAGTAGAAATATTTTATTACATAGAACCTTAAAGTGGTCTGTTTTATTAAAATAAAATATATATATATATATATATATATATATATATATATATATATATATATATAATTTTTTAAATGGATACTCATATTTGGGTAGATGTTCTGTTATTATTCATTTATTAAACAGTATATTCATTTATTTACATATACTGGACTGAATACTCGAAAATTTTTTTAGAAAAATATGCCCCTTAAGGAGCTGTGCTCCTGATCAAACCAAACACATAAATAATTATATCGGTCGCACTACTACGTGTCTATCCAGACGATTTACGCTACACCTACTCGAACACGTGTCTTTTAGAACTTAAATGAGTTCTAAAAGACACGTGTTCGAGTAGGTAACAACGTAAACCCACACACAAACCTAAAAGATTCCATCAGAAACATGCTACTAAAAAATACAAGCATAACAACTACATCTACATATAAAAAAAGATCAAAAATTAATGGAAGCCCTAATAATAAAAAAGAATAAAGCCAACACTCAAACATAAACTATGTACACGGACACAATCCGCTGACCGTGTTTGAAAAGTAAAACGCTCCTATTTCTAGATACATACACACAACCTATAAATTTAGATACAAATTAAAAATAAAATTATCCTTGATAATGGCTAAATGTATAACCGAGAGTGCTCGGAAATGCAAAAGATTTGGACAATTTTTTACACAATTTGTGTCCAGAAAAGCAAACACTTCCACGAACAGAAGAAAATTAAGTAAAACGCTTAATATCAGTATCTTATAATATATATATATATATATATATATATATATATATATATATATATATATATATATATTTGTACAAAGAGATATATTTTTATTTCAGCTAGTATATATCTATATATATTTATAAGAGGAAGAGTTTATAGTTCAAACGAGAGAAAAGGGTGTATATTAAAAGAAGAGAGAAAACGTAAAAGTTTTGGGTTCTAATGTGGATTTAAAAAAAAATAGTATGCTTATGGAAAATAAAGCATAATATTTAAAAAAATCCACATTACAACCAAAACTTGTTTGCGGATTCTCTTCTTTTTATATATATATATATATATATATATATATATATATATATATATATATATATATATGATAAGTGTTCCCTGACGATCCGCGTAGATGAAACCTTGGTAGGTTTAACTGGATCTTTAGATTTAATTAGGTTTTCTCTACTTAGCGTATTGAGCACTTAGTTATTTTATTTACTCGTATTGGTTTTTTTTTCTTTGGACTCAGAACCTTTTTTCCCTCTTTGGTATTGGTCTGTTTATTTACATAGCAAAGTGCCCAAGGTTTTCTGGACGAGTATAATTTCTTATATTTAGAAAATTATTACTATATATATATATATATATATATATATATAAGAAAAAGGCTTAAACACACTAATATTAATTAATGTTTAAGCCTTTTTATTATATCCTTACTCTGTCCTGGACATTGAGTTCTACCTGGATTCTATCCTCACGAAATTTTTTATAAAAAAAATATATATGTATGTGTATGCATGTATGTATATATATTTTTATATTTTGCATATGTATATGTGTATATTTACCATTAATATATATATATATATATATATATATATATATATATATGTATATATATATATATATATATATATATATATATATATATATATATATATATATATATATATTCATTGAATAATATAGACATATTATGCCTATCTTTATAATAATCCTTTCTAGTTTTTTAATCAGTTTCTTGATGTTATAATTAAAATTCATCCAGAAAGTCTCATGTTTTTTTTACCAACGCAAGTCCTTTCGATCTCTTCGGAGATCATCCTAAGGAATAAATTACGGAGAAAACCATAATGTAACTGTCATCCTTGTGATAGTATTTTTAAAAACGCGTGACTGTGCTCTTTTATAATTTTTATCAAATTTTAAATTCATCCGTTGTAACTATAGAATTTTGTTTGCAAGACAAGCGTCCCAAAATAAGGGAGTTTCCCAGCTATTAGTAGACATGCAAAATGGCATTAAATGTTTTTAAACGCTCTTCAACACGTTGTTGCTTGCTACACTCGTAATAAATGTTGTTGAGTGTTAGTTGGTTGCTTGTGTTATAGAGGTACGCGAAAATTCGAAGATTTAGCTCACCATTAAATTACTTTGGTTGGGAGAAATTACGGCGCCCACCTTGATGAAGTTGATCTTAACATCAAGAAACTTATTAGAGAGCTTGAAAGGATCAGTATAAATATAAATATAAATAATATGTTTATAATATTCAATAGAACATCTGCTTGAAGATATACTGCCTATATATATATATATATATATATATATATATATATATATATATATATATATATATATTATAAATTAACTGATTTAAAAATATGGTTCTTTTGCTACACAGGAATTACCATGTGTCAAAACCCGAAGCTAAAAACTTCAAATTTCATTGTATAATTAAAATTAAAAGCATTACTTCATCTTCAAGCGAATTTTGGAATAACTTCTCCAAAATTCGCTTGAAGATGTAACAAAACTAATGCTTTGAATTTTAATTATATAATTAAATTTGAAGTTTTCAGCTTCGGTTTTTGAAACATGGTAATTTCTGGGTAGCGAAGGAACCATATTTTTAAATCAGTTAATTTATAATATTTATGCTCTGTGAATTTACATTGAGCACTGTTTTGTAAAAATAAAAATATCAATAAGAACACCGGATTATATATCTTACTTTTCTTTTTTTTTTTTTATATATATATATATATATATATATATATATATATATATATATATATTATAATAATATTTTTGTTTAAAATATGATTCTTCGCTACATAATAGTTCTCATGTTTCCAAAGACGAGAGCCGAAATATCCAAATAATTATTAAAATTAAGTTAGATTGTGGTGTTTAGTCCCGTTTCATCTTCAAGCGAAATTTTAGGAATAAGCTATCTGTCGGTTTATTTCGGATCTCGTTTTTGAAACATGAGAACTCTTATGTAGCGAAGGAATCATATTTTTAAACCAAAAAAATTATTATAATATAAGCTCTACTTCTGTATGGAGCACTGTCTTCTTAAAAATAAAAACAAAAAATACTAAGGAACCCCGGATTATGCACCCAACGTGTTCTTTTCTTTTATATAATTTATCATCCGAAAAGAAAAAAAATGATTAGATCGCATGAGAAATTGTATAAAAAACTAAATAAAATCACCTTGTCTGTCGTATTCAATGAAATGTGCATGAAAGGATTGCTGCCTAAATACATACATACCCCCTATATATATATATATATATATATATGTGTTTTTGTGTGTGTCCCTGTGTGGGTCTAATTTTGTTATTTCTAGCTTTGGCGCATTATTATTTGAATATATATTAATTGAAATGGACATTCATAATGAGAAAATCTCGGACATTTGAGTGAAAGTTAAAAGAGAGATGTTGAAGGAGGTCGGGTTTTCGCCCACTGCCTTCTTTTTCATTTTTAATTAATTCTTGCTAGTAATTGTTATTTTCTCTCCAAACACGACTCCCCGCCAAGCTTTGATCCCCTGTAATGTCTGTCTTTTTGGCAGCATTCTGTAGCGTGGGCGGATAAAAAAAAATCAATCAGTGGAAGAAGGTCAATAATAGGAATGTGGCATTGCAAACCAGCGAGGCTCACACACACACACACACACACACACACACACACACACACACACACACACACACGAATATATATATATATATATATATATATATATAGTAGAATGGATATGAATTTGTAAACCCACAGTTACAAACTCATATCCATTCTACTAAATATGCTAGCTCTATCACTGATATTAAGCGCTTTCCAATGAGCAGCGCTCAGATAAAAAACATATATAGAAATTATATATATATGCACTCCACTACAACTGATACCGTAAACAGTTTGAAAAATGCTGCAAATTTTAAAATCAAAATTCGTAGGTTAATTAAGCGCTTTCCAATGAGCAGCGCTCAGATATAAAACATATATAGAAATTATATATATATATGCACTCCACTAAAACTGATACCGTAAACAGTTTGAAAAATCCTGCGAATTTTAA